TTCAAAGAAAGAGCTAGGCAGAGGAGGCTGGGGTGTGATCTGGATGGGAGAGTTTAGGGGACAAAGAGTTGCTGTGAAACAGATGCATGAGCTGATTAAAAGTGATGAATATATGGAGCTCCTTCATCGAGAGATCAATACAATGTCTCAATTGCGTCATCCTAATCTCCTCCAGTTTATAGGAGCTGTGTTAGACCATCCATCAGGTAATCCTATGATTATCACTGAAGTAATGGATACCTCATTACGGAGTGCCTATGAGAGGAAGGAGCTTACTACTGATCCTGGCTGTAGACCAGTGATTCTATCTATAATGCGTGATGTAGCTGTGGGTTTAAACTACCTACACTGTCTACCTGATCCTATTATTCATCGTGATGTCAGCAGTGCTAATGTACTACTGGAATCAAAGGGACACAACAAATGGAAGACTAAGATATCCGACTTTGGATCAGCTAAATTCGCTCGTGCAGCAGTCACTGAAGCACCAGGAGCAGCTGTCTATAGTGCTCCCGAGAGTATTGCAACACTTCATAGGAGAACAAGAAAGCAAACAACAAAGATGGATTCTTATAGCTATGGTGTTCTCTTATGCGAAATGATAACATGCCATTTTCCAAACGCAGAAAAGTTTGAGACTGTCAAAGTCAGCTCACCTCAGTTGTATGAACTCATAGTTTCATGTATCAATGAAGAACCAGACAAACGACCAACAATGTCTGAAATAATTCTCAAATTGGATCGTTGTATTGCTAATAAGTAGCACCGACTGTTTCCAGTTGCACAAGTACTTTTACAATAATTGTTAAGCACAATTTAGACTTTATTATTTCATTTTCTATTCATTTGCTTTTTCTACTATTATTTTTAAATGGTACTATTATTGTAATTTTTGTTTGCTCTTTCTTAAAATGCTATTCTATTTAACTTTTACAGCTAAAGGTCATTATAACGACATTCATAGTTTCTGGTTTATTCTAAGTTATAAATAATTGTCTCCTTTCTTTGGAAGAGAGGTTGCGACAGCGTTGAGCAAAAAGAAAGCAAAAACTAATGACTTCAACTACAGTGGACTGTACTTTTATTTTCTTTTATTTTATTTGATTGTCACTCACTGCTTATAATGTATGTACATATCAATATCAATAAAATGTGTGTGTGTGTATTATAATTATGGTATATGTGTACTAATGTAATTAAATTTAGTTTTTTGGATGTTAATGTGCTCAGAATCAGCTCAAACTTTCTACACAGCATAAGGACATCAATATGTATCAGAAAATGTAATAAAAATTGGAAGTGATTTTGGAGCCATTTTTCAGAAAAAACCATGGGCTATAGTACAGGGAAATTTTCAGATTTTGGCCCATTTTTTAAATTGGCCGTAACTTTAAAAATTGAAGTCAGAATTAGCTCAAACTTTCTACACAGCATAAGGACATCAATATGTATCAGAAAATGTAATAAAAATTGGGGGTGATTTTGGAGCCATTTTTCGGAAAAAACCATGGGCTAATTTTGGCCCATTTTTTAAATTGGCCGTAACTTTAAAAATTGAAGTCAGAATTAGCTCAAACTTTTTACACAGCATAAGAACATCAATATGTATCAGAAAAATGAGAAAATAATAATTATAATAAAAATTGGGGGTGATTTTTGAGCCATTTTTTTGGAAAAAAACCATGGGCTATAGTACAGGGAATTTTCAGAAATTTGCCTATTTTGTGAAGACCTTCTAATGTTCATCATAAAGAAATGCTTGTACATACGTTATAAAAATTGTTATTATATTCTGGTATTATTACTAAAGGTCAGTTATTTTTGTATGATACCTATCAATCCTTTTTCTCACACACACTCACCTCTCTCTCTCTCTCTCTCTCTCTCTCTCTCTCTCTCCCTCTCTATCTCTCCCATTTCTTTCTCATATATACATGTACATGCAGTCAGGTAGAGCAACTGGTGTGTTACAGTTTTTACTGTACACTGTGTTATGGATGATTGGCATATTGTGTGTATCTTTATTAATAACTGGTGGATCATGGGATTTTATAAATGGAGTTTATGGAGTCATGTAACTTAAGTTTATATGCCTCCTTATTAGAAATACACCCCCTCTCTCTCTCTCTCTTAGTTTACTTGTTCCTGATTTCACTCCTAATGTTGGCTTATTCTGGTATTTCTTTATGGAGATGTTTGATCATTTTCAAGTTTTCTTTCTCTGTGTCTTTCAAATCAATGCCTTCATTCATGCTATTCCACTCACCATCAGATTCAAGTAATAAATACATTTAAAAACACAGCATGTGTACATGCATGTACAGTATAGCCTCTCTTAATGGACACTCTCTATAGCGTACACCTCCATTTAACGGACAGCACCTAGTGTACCAATTACATTCCTTACTGTATAAAATAACCTCCACATAAAGGACACCTCTGTATAACAGAGACACTTTTTACCCAAAGTGTCCATTATATAGAGGCTACACTGTTAATATAAGTAGATGGCATAGTTAATTTTATCTCTTCTTATAGTCAAGACCCAATGTTCCTAGTGTATACTTTACTGTCTCTGATCTCATTATTCAAATCATACCCCACTGTTGCTGATTTTATTATACCAGTATCATTACTACCACTGTGGACTCATGTATTCAGATGTAAGTATAATAACACATACAAATAAATTGATACTTTAGTAAATAATGACTAGTTTATAATGATACACTATAGTCTACTCTCATGTCAGTATGTTTTGTATTAAGTAATTTAGTTATGTATACATAGCTTAAGTTTATGTAACAAATGATGCACTTTTTGCCCAGCAACATGTTGCTTGAAGCATACACATTCAATTATAGATTTCTCTTGATATAATACATGTACATGTAATTATTACAATGATTACACTCAATATGGCAATATTATAACTGCATGTGAGTTTAAAAACCTACAAATATGATTTATATTTTCTTTATTTCTTTTACTCCAGATATGAGGTTCACTCCAGTTATAATAGGTTGTGTACTAGTCAGTTCAATAGCTGGACCCATTACCTGGTATCTATGGATACACACTGGAAGTGCTAATGCCAACTTCTTCTTTGCTTTAACATTAACTTATTGTATTAGTCAGATATTCTTATTGCTTGATGTGTGTCACTCATACCTCACTCATCAGTATGATATGACCAATGGACTACCCAGGACTAGTAATAAACTAGGAACTGGTCATATACTGTTGAAATTACAATAAACAGTGATTTGGTCAATTAAAATTGATTTTTATTTACCACACCTTCAATACGCAATGGCTTCCATCTTACTGAAAGAGAAGAGTGGACATGGCCAGTCCCGAGAAGGAGAAGACCCCTGGGAGTGTAGAGTATTCAAAGGAGAGTTTGTTGTTCAAATACCTCATCAGCAGAGACGTCAAATCAAGGGTGTCACTCCTAATTACCGCCTTTATCGTGATCCTAAAGTTCTTCTGTATGCTGAACCCATTGAAGTTGCTCCAGTAGAAGAAAGGGAAATAGAATATCTTCAAGCAGTACAACCAGCTAGTGCACGATTAAAGGAATACTTAAACGAGAATAAGGAGACGAATATGGATCTGGTAGTTGGTGATAAGGTGATCTTCAAGCTAAAGTTACCAGAGTTTTTTGCATCAAAAGCCACAACACCAACTGCATCAGTCAATGGTACAATACGTTATATTGGTCCTCATCCTGATAGTGATGGAATAGTCTTTGGTATTGAAATAGATGTACGAGTGAGTTCATTGTGTTTTATGCTTTCGTTTTAACACAGTTACTGCATTTTAGGATCAAGCATATCGTGGTAAAGGTACCAGTAATGGTAGACCTTATTTCACTTGTGGACCCAACAATGCTGTCTTTGTTGCTATGGATAAGATAATCAAGAGACAAGATCCATCTCGTACTAGATCTGGTCAGGGATTACCTGAACTTTCTGTTATGGAGCCACAACCTAGACCAGCTACAAGAAGCCTGAGTGAAACAAAACTTGCTGCCAGTGGTCAACCTAAAGGTGTTATTGATAGGGTAAAAGATTTTGTAAAATCCTTGCCAATGGACGACTATGCAGCAGAAGATGAAGGAAGATTTGAAGTAGGAGATGTATCTGGTCATAAGTCTCGATTCAAAGAAGGTGATCGTGTGATATTACAGACAGTTAAAGAAGACATAGTTGCTGGTACAGTGAGGTGGGTGGGATCCATTAGAGTTTCTAAAGACATGAAAGTTGATCCTCTTCCAGTAATAGGAATAGAAACAGTAAGTGATGGAAGTAGCCAATCAATGGATAAAATAATTTTACCTTTTTCAGGACAGAAAAATAGATTCTTCGAAAGATTTTAATGGTGTTGATATTAATGTCACTGGCAGTCATGGTAAGGTTTTTAAAGTATCATATAATCACAGTCGAGTGTTCCTTCCTGAACAAATGGTACTTACTATTGATGAGTATACAATGCAGAAACAGAAGGATCACGCTGCTAAATTTGAGAAAGAAACCAAAATGGATGATGCTACTGAAAATGATGAGAAGAAATTAGCTACAGAATTTGGTATGTCAGTAGCAGAATATCGACGACAACAGCAAAGTTATGTTGACTTTTCTAAGAAAATGAATGATAGAAGGATAGCTGATGAATCAAAAATTGAAGACATGACCGAAGAAAAGTTTGCAGTAAGCTGTGGAATAGGTGAAGGAGAAGAGTATGATGCATTATCAGATACAATACAAGTTATGAGGTTTGCTGGGCTTAAAGCAGTTGAGGAACGAGTCGAAAGAGAAGGAAGGGCTCTTGAAGATCGAAAACGTGAGCATAAACCCTAACTTTAACATTAATTTAAAAATTATATTTTGCTATAATTAAGGTTTAAAGGAAGAAATCCATCAGCTCCAGGCATCAATTGAAAATCTTCAGTTGGAGAAAGACACTCAACAAAAGAGAGCTGAACAGCAAGAACAACAATGGAGGAATGAAAAACAACAACTTCTGGAAGAACAGGATCGTCTGAGGGAAGAAGTTAAGCTAGTGCAGGAACAAATAGAAACAGACAAACAAGCACTAAAGGAGGAAAATGGCCAACTAAAATATGAAAATGAGCGTTTAAGGAGAGAGATCACTGACCTTAGAGAAGCTCATCATGAGCTGCAACAAGAAACAGAAAAGAAGGAGCAAGTCCAGGCACAGCTGCAGAGCCAAGTTGGTCTTTTCTCAATCGAAAACATGAGATTGAAAGGTCAAGTGAAGCAGCTGGAAGAAAGCAAGTACTGGGATAAAAATGAAGAGTATCGTCAGCTGCAAGATACGTATGAGAATCTTAGGAGGAATTATGAAAGAAAAGAAGACGAGTGCTATCAACTACAGAAGTCTTGTGATGCTCTTGTGACTAGTAATGAAGACAAGGAAGAAAGAATACGCTGCTATAAACTATTAGTTAAAAAAATGGAAGCAGACCAAGCATCAAAACAAAACGAATTAGCTAGACTTGAGAAAAGTTGGAAGATTAGCTCTGCAGATATTGAGTACACTAAAACAAAGCTGGGTACAGGAGGATGGGCAAAAGTCACAATTGGAAAGTTTCGTGGGAAAGATGTCGCAGTAAAGAGATTCTATAAAGTACTTTTGCAACAGGAAGAGCAAAGTAGTCATTATATGGAGCTCCTTCATAGAGAGATCAACACAATGTCTCAGTTGCGTCATCCTAATCTCCTCCAGTTTATAGGAGCAGTGTTAGACCATCCAAAAGGTAATCCTATGATTATCACTGAAGTAATGGATACCTCATTACGCAGTGCCTATGAGAGGAAGGAGCTTACTACTGATCCTGGCTGTAGATCAGTGATTCTATCTATAATGCGTGATGTAGCTGTGGGTTTAAACTACCTACACTGTCTACCTGATCCTATTATTCATCGTGATGTCAGCAGTGCTAATGTACTACTGGAATCAAAGGGACACAACAAATGGAAGACTAAGATATCCGACTTTGGATCGGCTAATTTAGCTCATGCAGCAGTTACTGCAGCACCTGGAGCTTTAGTTTATAGTGCTCCAGAAAGCCATGCTCCTTATGGAAAAAGGCAAACAATAAAAATGGATTCATATAGCTATGGTGTTCTCTTATGTGAAATGATTACATGCCGTTTTCCTAAAACTCCTGGAATATTAGAGACTCTCTCACTGCAAGTCAAAGTCAGCTTACCTCAGCTGCATGAACTCATAATTTCATGTATTAATGAAGAACCAGACAAGCGACCAACAATGTCTGAGATAATTGTCAAATTGGATTGTTTCATTGTCTAGTTACTTCTTAAAATATTTTTGCACAC